CTCAGGGGAAGATCTGCTTACTTTGATTTAAACATGTATTAGATATAGATGTATTGAAACATCACATGGAACTCCGGATCCCGGGGATCCAGCTCGGCAGCATAAGCGCCTGCCTGGCAAGCACACTGTCCCGAGTTCCAAAAAAAAAAAAAAAAAAAAAAACAACTCAGGAGTATCACTTATGGTGAAGGGAATTGAGTTCAATAATTATTAATTAGTAATGCAATGCAAGGTGTTTTAAACCCATTGTGAGATTATAATATTTTTCTTTACATTTTTTTAATCCAAAAAATTTAAGATTTTAGTCATAGTTTATTATAAGTAACTAGAAATTTAAATCCTCTTTGCTTTACATAGGTAAAGTAACTGCCACCAAAAGAAAAGATTGAAGTAGAAAACCTGTTAAGATATACTTACATTGCTTGAAAAATTCCAGTTATTCCTGGAACCTAACCATTGATTTCTAAATAACTACTTTTTATAAAAAAATTTTTAAAATGTGTTTTAACTAACATACTGTTAAAGAGATAAACCTTTTTCTCACTGAAAAATACTGTTGTTGTGGTGTATAAGATTTTAAATAATAGTTCACTGAATGTTATGTTAGCATTAATTAATTTCTTTCAAAATGTTTAATGTGCTTTTTTGCAATTTATACATTTTATACACTGTGTTCAGTGTTTGATCCTGACAGTACTAAAGAGTAACAACTTTGTTTTTCTTCAGTGTCTGACTCTTTGATAACATGTATTGCTCATACTTTCTTTGACTTTCTTGGGGAAAGATGAAGAATAAATGCTGGGGCCCAGGTTGAACAGTTGTCACTTTTTTTCCACCTCATTATTGTATCTTTTAAGCCAGAGTGAATACAGTGCCTACTCTGGGTCAAGGATATGGTTTATAGACTTTTCAGTAGATGTTTCAGGTACTTGTTTTTAAATATACAGATGGCAAACTAATTTTTTTAAAAGTAACTGGAGTTTGCATATAGACTCTTACTAGAACATTTAACTGTGGAAATAAAATCTACACTGTGTTTTGTTCACTTTCACCAGTACAATACTTCTCTTTAATTCCAGTTTTAGTATATGTGCTGCTGAAGTGAGCACACGTCTCTTTAATTCCAAACAGCATTAATAACCCAGTTTAAAACATTAGAATTTTAATGAGCTTAAATTATTTGGTTACGTATTATCATATCCATTCTTTTTCTGGCTAGAGTTTACACTTTAAAATTTTGATGTTGGGGGCTGCGTATTTAGCTCAGCGGCACAGCGCCTGCTTGGCAAGTGCGAGATCATGAGTTCGGTTCCCGGTACCAGGGGGGTGAAAAATTTTTTTTTGATGTTGATTTTAAGTTTTAGAAATAAAATCTTAAAAGTACAAGGGGGAATAGATTTTAGTTTTATAATTACCTTGAGAAAGTATAGTACCTTTAAAATGGCGCTAGTAAGTTGAGCCTTTATTTTAACTTTACTCTGTAGATACACATTTACAAAATTCAGTTGTCTTGGGTTTATCCAAATCCTTTTATCACCATTTATTAACTGTTTGTTGTTTTAGGACCTGATCCCAACCTTGAAGAAAGTCCCAAAAGAAAAAATATTACATATGAGGAATTAAGACAAAAGAACAGAGAGTCATATGAAGTAACTTTAACACAAAAGACTGGCCCCTCAGTCAGGCCTATGCAGGAAAGAGTGCCCCAAAAAGAAGGTATGATAGTTTAGTCTGAATCATTATAACTGTAGGATTGGAAACTGAAGCATTAGTTTAAAACATTAAATATACTAATATGATTGAATTATTTAAGCAATTAGCCAAAATAAATTTTTTAAATAATAATTATTTCATAGTTACCAGTTACTCCCTTTTTTGTGGTACTAGGGATATAATCCAAGTCCTTCATACTGAACTCCCCCATCAGCCCCTTTTTAAAATATTTAATTTTGAGACAGGGTCTTGATAAATTGCTGAGTTGCCCAGGTTGGGCTCGAGTTTGTGATCCTCTTGCCTCAGCCTTTCAGACTGCTAGAATTACAGGTGTGTGCCACCATGCCTGGTTCCGTTCTTCCACTTTTAAGGAGTGTTCCAGTGTCCATTTTGTTTTAGTGTATACTGAAATTTAAACAAGAAAATAAGTCCAAATAGGAAGACTGGTTTTGTAAGTTGAGTACAGTGTGGAAATTACATACCCATTTGACTGTTTTTCTTTATAAGAAATCACTTTAGGGACTGATATTTTTTTCCTAATGGTACATCTCTTTTATGACCCAAGGTTGATCATTGAGCTGTAATGCCACTTTTGGCAAGGCAGAACCTTAATTAATGAAGTTGTTTTTCTTGTGTCATTGAAAGTTGTGTGCCTTATGAACCAGCTTTTAAGATGTTCCAAAAGAGAGTTTGATTTTTCTTTTCCTCCTCCCCGCTGCCCTCCCCTTGCACTGGGAATTGTACCTGGGGAGCACTGAGCTGCACCCCAGCCAGTTCTGAAAAAATGTTTGAGACAAGATCTCACTAAGTCCCTCAGGCTGACCTTTAGGCTTGGGGCCCTCCTGCCTCCTGAGTAGCTGGAAGTACAGGGTGCTGTACCACAGCCAGTTCCTTCTTTTTCTTCAGTGTCCTTTGGAGCAGCCAAATACTACCAAAAGTAAATTTTCTGACACAGAAGTTAAACCCTAAAGGGTGAGAGCATTATGAATATATGTTCTGTAGCCATTTCAGTATAGAATTTTGTGATCTCTCTTAAGGAACTTCAGAGGGTGTGTATTACTTAAAGGTTTTCTAACTGAACATGTAACCTGTTAATGGAGCACTTGCCATAAGTTCAGTCTGTACCACCACAAAAAAAGAAAACAAAAGAAATAGGTCTTTAGTAATTATTGCAAAATACATGAAAATCATTAGTAGTTGTTATTATAATCCTTTTTAGAGCCAGCTTTATTTCTAGAGTTGTAATGTATATAGTATTTGATGTTCATCATTTACTCAGCTTAACTTAACTTTATGCATACAGTGGCCATTACTCTAATATGCCAAGACTTATTGGTACTTTGCTGATTTGAGGATTTAGAGTGTAAGCTCCATGAGGGTAGGAAATGTGCTATTTTTCTCATTTTTGTAATCTTTTCTAGTAAGTTCATACAGCATCGTACAGCACTGTTTTATCAGAAATAGTATTTTGGTTGGGCCTTATGTAGAAATAGAGGGTACGAAAATGAAATATGTTGGATCTCTAGGATTAGGTAGATTTTGACAGTTGTGTTTTTAACTGTGAAGTCTTGAAATGCTTATAAAACTTTTTTTTTTTTTTTTTTGTAAAAGAAAAAACTGATTTTCTTTTACATAATTTAAAGAAAAAGACCTGTTTGGGGGTTTTGTTTTGTTTTTGTCTGAGACAGGGTCTCACTATGCAGTTCAGGCTGGCCTTGCCTCACTTTGTAGCCAGGTTGACCTTGAACTCACAGCAGTCCTCCTTCCTCAGCTTGGCAAGTGCTATGATTACAGGCATGCGCCACCACACCCAGCCAAAAGACCTGTTATGAAATAGGTTCGGTGATTTTTTTTTTTTTTATAATGGTCTTGAATCTAGTCCCAGGATCTGAAAATGTCAGTTTTCAGCTTTAGTTGTTATGCATTATATTTATTGCTATTTATCTAATTAGAAATCAAGACTTAGGGCCGGGCATATAGCTCAGCAGCACAAGCACCTGCCTGGCAAGTGCAAGGTCCTAAGTTCGATTCCTGGTACCAAAAAGAAAAAAAGAAAGAAATCAAGACTTAGCAATTTAAAAACACATTTTCTGTAACTGTCAGGGCCATGTCACCACAACATACAGCTTTCTAAAAGAGTATCAAAATCATGAAGTAATGAGAACAAAGGGGAATTAGCAAAATGTGAGGGAAAAGGGATAGATGAAGTCTTAATTTTGACTTCATGGATTGCCTGAAACAACCACATTGTGACAGTTACTTTTTTGTATTGTTCTGATTATTTGAATCATCTAAAGAGTTGTAATTTCCACAGATGGAGGCCAGATAGGATCATGTTTTAAAATTTAATTTCATGTAAAATACAGGAGTATTGGAAACCATTTCCTTGTATGACAGCTCCTATGAGATAAGATTGAATTAACCCCAGCTTGGAAACTTCACCATGTTACTAGTGGCGTTTGTTGTAAAAAAATATAAATTTATTTTTTTAATTTCCTGGTAGCTTTTTTTGGTATATGTGATAATATATGCCATACTTAAGTAGTTGGTAAAGTTGTAAAGGCCCTAAACAGACATGTATCAAATCTCAGTTCTACTTGTTAAGGCTTATTATACCTTGGGCAAGTTACTAATCTGTTTTCTCACCCTTAAAAATGGGGTTTACTTTATAAGGTTGTTAATGAGGATCGAGCTTTTTTGTAAAAATATAGGGTATTTGTAGTTCTGAACAACCCCTAGTTAACAAAAGTCTGGTCATTCCCTTTTATAATTAAGATTTGACTCTCCTCTGCATTATTCAAAGGGGAGAGAACATTTCATCATAATAATAACCAACATAAGATAGTGTCTTTTACTTGTTACTGTTTAAAATCATCAATTATTTGTGCTTTTTTCCTAGTCAAAGTAAACAAATATGGAGATACTTGGGATGAGTGAACAAGTACATCATTGGACCTCCTGAAGCAGTTTTAGTATCCAGCTTCATCTAGGTGATCGTGAAATACCTGCATGCTTTGAGCTCAGCAGCAATCTTCATAAACGCATTTAAAACTAAGTTCTGGGTTTCTGTGGTTTGACTTACTGTGATGTTTAAAGAAAAACACAGATTTTAGCGTTAGGATCACGTAAATGTAGGCTACACTGGGGACAACTATGAGTGATGGTATTGTGCCATGATTGTGTACAGTTTGCAAACTTGTTTTCACTTACAAGGCAAAGATACTCTTCTAAAACCCTTAAGAGACTGTGATGCTCTCGAATTTGCTTATATGAAAATAAATGATATCTGCATGTTGAATTGAGGTGGGTGGGGGGAGCAAGCATAATTTTAAGTGTTCAGCTTTGCATCGTTACGTTTCTCTAGTATTTGCTGTATTATTGTACTGTTTATGGTAAATAAAATATAAAGGAGCATGCAGTAGCTCTCACCTTCATTAATTTTATGGTTTTATTTGCAATTTGTTAGTTTATAGTTAGAAGTAAGTGGTTTTTTGGGATAAGAAAAATAAGTCATCTATGAATATTTAATAAAGATGATGAATATGATTCATACAGATATATCTTTGGTAAATAGCTAAATGCCTTAAAACAAGTGGTTGTGTTAATTTTGTGTCACTATAATGAAATGCTATAGAATCAGCTTATAAAGAAAATGGGTTTATTTTAACTCACTGTTACGGTTTCTGGTCCATAACCCATCAGTCCTGTGGCTTTGGGCCTGTGGCAAGGCTGTATATGGTGATAGGGTACTTCACAAGCAAGGGAGTGAGGGGAAAGGAAGGGACTCTTCCCACAAGGCCCTAAAAGCTGTCAAATAAAGCAGTCACCGTGTATGGGTTTACTTCAGGGTCATGCGTCTCACCAGTAAAACAGATTCCTTCTCTTCCTGTCCTCCTCCTCCTCCTCCTCCTTCTCACAACCCCAGTTCCCAAAGACTCGTGAGTGTACCACTTTGCAGGGTTTAAATTGCATCCTAAAGCCTAGTTACTAGGAAACACCATTTATTTTTCTTGCCTCTGCCCTAAAGAAAAGGTTTGTTAAGCCAGGCTTAGTGGTACACACCTATAATCCTAGCACTCAGGAGGCTGAAGCAGGAGGATTGCAGCAAATTAAGGCCAGCCTCAGATGCATAGTGAGTTCAAGGTCAGCCTGAACTGCATAGCAAGACCCTGCCTCAAAAAAAACAAGGTTGTGTAATTGTAAAGTTTGTTTTTGATTCAGGTAAATTAAAATGAAGTGGTGGTCTTACACCAGAAACATATTTCAGCTGAACATCACTGCAGATCATCCCAGAACTTAGTGGCTTAAAACAACAGCCGTTTATTACCTGTTTTCTGAGTCAGGAATTAAGGAGTGTGTAAAGCCAAGTGCTCTGGTTCAGGGTCTCTTAGGTTGATGCGCATGCTGGTGAGACACGTGCCGAAGCACGTGGGGGCCTGGCAGCTGGGACCTGCCTCTGCGTGTAGCCGCAGGGTTCTGCCACGTCTCTGTGGGTTAGTTTGGGCGTCTTCACAGTGTGAACACTCAGAGCAGTCGGGACTAGAACTCCGGTGGGAGTGTCCAGAAAGCATGTGCAGGGCTGCATTGCCTTTTGTGATGACCGAGTGTCTGAGTCATGTAGCATTATTTTGGCTCCAGCCTACTTACTAAAGGGCAGAAATGTGAATGCCCCACCCAGTCACATTCTGAAGTGAATGGATGTGATAGATGTTGCAGTCATCTTTTCAGGTCTGCCATTTGACCCCAGTAATTCACATGTGTCGGTGCAAAGGGAATCCAACGTCTTTCTTAAGCCCTCCAATTCATATCCCACTAACAGCCTGAAGTCTAGGGGCTCATCATTTAATCAAGTCCAGGTGTGGATGAGGCTGCCTATTGCCACGTCCCAGTCCGAAGGCCTGTGAATGTAGGCAAAAAGTTACCTGGCTTGTTCACCCCAAATGCTCTAACCTAGTAGGCGTCATATAATTAGATACTGCCATTGAAAAAAGGAGAATGAGTCATATGTCAGCCAGTGTGTGGCACATGTCTGTAATCTCATTACTCTAAGAGGCTGATACAGGAAGATGATGAGTTTAGTCTGAGGCCATCCTGAGCAATTTAGTGAGACCCTGTCTCAAAAAATAAAAAGTGCTGGGGATCTAGCTCAGCGTGAAAGCCCTAAATCCAATCCCTAGTACCCTAAAAACAAAAACAAGCCTTCAGTCTGCCAGTCAGTTGTCCATAGCAGTTCTGAAACCCAGCCGGCCACACCTTGACTGGCACCTTGGTATATTCTGTGGTGTTTATCCTAGACTGTTGACCCTACCTTCTGAGTCTTCCTTTTTTACAAAGACAACACGTTTATAGCCAACCAGTATTCTCAGTCTACTCCCTGCTCACAGAAAGTTAAGGACCCAATGGTATCTTACACCAGTCCTGCCCAAGCTTATAACCTTCACCCTTTTTTGAAACAAAGACATTTCCATCCATTTATAGTCTACTCCATAATACAGAAACCACCATTATACAGAAACTCACTGGAAATGGTCCTCTTACGTCGGGCACCCTGTGAGGCTGATAAACATGTTTGATTCTAAGAAGCCCTGGGCAGGTTGTACAAGACATGCTGTCCAGTTAATCCTGGCAGTTTGACTGGATTGAGCTGGAGAGGTGGCTGGGTCATGGGGGGCCCATGACAGTAAATGAATCACTGATGTTTCCAGCTGAATGTCCTCTTATGGTAGGAGGTGGGCTCGTTCATAGGTGGATCCTTGGGAACTTGCCTTTGGAAAGTATCTCTTGCTGTTCTTCCTCTGCACTGCTTCCCTGAAGGGAGCAGCTTGGCTCTGCTACATCTTTCTGCCGTGATGTTCCTGCCTCGGAGCCAGCCAACCATAGTCTGATGTGGTGAGCCAAAATTAAACCTCTCCTCCCCTAAGTTGTGGGTGTCAAGTGTTTGGTACCAGCAGTGGGAGAGCTGATACATAGGCGTTTGGGATGCACAGGGAACTGTTTGTCTGAAATGGCTTAAGAGGCACTATCATCCTTCTGAGATCTTAGAAACTTACTACTCACTTCGGATTGGATCTTTGCTTAGAAACCATTTCTGAGTATGAGAACAATTAGCTCAAAGAGCTGTTCTGAGCGTTTGTATTTCCTTCAAATTTCATTTGGAAACAATTTATTCCTTTTATTATGGCTCTCTTATTTCAGATAAAAAAAAAAAAGCCAAGTGGCACCTGGCTCATTGCTGCCTGGAAGTCTTAGCTAAACCAACTTCATTAGGCACAGTTTCTATATTCTGTGAATAAGTAACAGTTCTGGTAATTCTGATAGCCTCTTTGATAGCCCCTTACCACCCGGAGGTCCTTGAAATTCTCACTTTCTTCTGCTAACATCCATCTGCCACTGTTCCAAAAATAATGCCACATGTTTTAGGTTTTATGGCAGCACCCCTCGCCCAGCTACTAAGTTTTAGGGTTAGGATTTGATAGAAAAGCAGGACTGCTATGAATGAGATGTAGATTAAGGGGTTTATTACAGGGATTAGACTCTAGGCTAGTGCACCAATCTAGGCTTCTTATAGTGTGTTGGCTGTGGTCTTTGTATGGTCCTCTTGGAGACAGAAATGAAAATACAGCCTCTTTAGGCCTACATTTGGAACTCACACTCACATGAATCTCACATTCTGCCTGAAGTCAGAGTGACAAGTCCAAATTCAAGAAGATAGATGAAGCTGGGTGTGGTGCATGTCTGTAATCCTAGCACTTGGGAGGCTGAGGAAGGGGTATGGTTGCGAATTTGAGGCCAGCCTGGGCTACAAAGTGAGTTCAAGACCAGCCTGAACTGCATAGTGAGATCCTGTCTCAAAAAGACAAAAAAAGAAAAAAGATGAGAGTCCCCAGAAAAAATAGAAAATGCAAAATTACATGACAAAAAGTGTAGAGAATTGGGATGAGTAATAATGTACCATAAGAACCGTCAAAAGTACTTAGTAATACCCTGTCTCAAAAAAAGGGAGGTGTTTCAGAGACGTACCTCAGTTGTAGCGCACCCTTGGGTTTGATCCCCATACTGAAATCAAAATAAGTACTACTATATCGATTGGAGAAAATTTTAATGCCCATATCTTGTACTCTGAATAACTACTTTAAAGATAACAATATGCAGTGTATTAACTATTGTTATTCTGTTGTTTTGTTAGGAAATTTTATCTTTTTTCCATAAAATAAAATTTAAAAAATAAGCACTACTGAGCCAGGCATAATCTCAGCTATTCAGGAGGCTGGGACAGAATGACCACAAGTTCAAGGCCAACCTGAGCAACTTAGTGAGACACATCTCAAAATTTAAAAAGATAAAATGGTTGGGGATGCAGTTCATGCTCCTGGGTTTGATCCCCAATACTGCCAAAAAATAAAAAATGTTTTCACTATGCCCTGAATTTTAGTGATACTTACTTTGCATCTATGTCACATAGGTTACATTGCACTGTAGTCTTTTATTTGTGTTTCTTACTTCCTCATCTACTTCTTTGAGGGCAGGGACCATCTCATGTTTCAATAGGCCCTTATTCTAGTGCATTGCTTTCTACAGTGTAAGTACTTGAATTAACCAATGAAGTCAGTTCTGGGTTTCCAAATCATAGGCACAGGTGATTGCCCTTATTCTCAGAACCTTATTTAGGGGGATTCCTTTATTTTTTTGATATTACATATTGTTATCATTAGTTTGTACCTCCCAGGTTCTCCTTTTGTTACTCTTCCATTCTTAAGCCCTTTCCCACCCATATGTAGAGGTGAGAGCCTGTAACAGTATTTTTATAACACAAAAATATCCTCCTGTGAGACATTCAGTCCACAAGAACTCTTAGAGCTGAGGCAGAAAAACGTTTATAGTGTGGATGCTGCCATGCTCAACCTGCTGAATCAGACTTTGGACTGAAAAAAACATCTGAAAGATAGTTCGATAAATTGAAACAAGGAAAATGTGTAATGTACCTCACTGAAGTTCACAATGACCAGTTGCATCAGTATAAAATGGGCAACTTGACTTAAAAGATCATGTAAAAGCCTAGTCACAGCCAAAAGCGTGGCAAGTAACACCCTTAGACTGCACCAGTGGTAACAGCAGCAGTAACAGTTAACATCCATTAGCGGTTACTGTGCACCATGTGCTGTCCTAAGCGTTTTATGGTGTCAGCTCATTGAATTCTCATGCACAGCCTGTCAGGTAAATCTCCTGTTTACATTCTACATGAGGAAACGGAGGACCAGGGCAGATTTTTAAAAAAACACCGCAAGATCAGGTAGCTGGTATGTGATGGAGCCTGGATCTGAAGCACAGGGCTGGCAGAGCCAGGCTTGCTCGCGGTCCAAGTGCCCGAAACAAGGGGGATAATCCTGTGTCCTCTGAACTGGTCACTCCATTTCTGGAGTCTGTATGACGACACACACCAAAGAGTCTCCTGAGACAGTGTTGACATGGCTGCAAGCCCACTCCAAATGTTGAAAACATGGGGTCCTTTAGCCTTAATTTTAAGAGAGAAACACAATTTTCTAGGACTTAATGGGTGTCATGTGAAAGAAAAGTTAAGAATTACACTTCGTAGCCACAGAAAAGTACAGATTTAGACTGATATTTTCAAAGTGCCCAAATCTGCAAAAACTCTGCTTAGGGATTCAGAGATAAGAAAACAAAAAACCACTTCCGGTCCTGGAGGAGTTTCTGGTCTGGATCCAGATAGGCAAACCTGGGCTCTCCATGGGACTTTTCTGAAGAGCTCAACAGTCTGGGCAGTGAGCCAGATTTCACAGGCAGGCGGTGTCCATCTTTGGAGCACATAAGCATGTTCTGGAGTCTCACCTGCCAGCAACGTGTAGAGGGACTTCTGCAGCGAGTGGGGAGAGGCTGGAGTGAACCTCAAACCAAGAACTGCGATGAGAATATAAGCTCCAGAAAGGTGGACTTTTACTGGCTGTGTCCACTGCTATATTCCCAGGACCTAAGACAGTTTGTGGCATTGAGTGGAGATTCACATATATAATTGTCCCATGATACAATCCACTGCCCAGCTGCTAAATTCTTCAGGAAGGTTTAACAACATTTAAAACCCAGCCAGACATGGTGGCACACACTTGTGATACCAGCACCTGTGAGGCTGAACCAGGATGATCTTCCCAAATTCAAGGCCAGCCTGGATTACATAGGGAGAACTGGTCTTGAAAACCAAAAAATAAAAAACCATTTTAAATCCAGATGTCATGTAAAAACCTTCATTTGTTTTGAAAAATTGGAATATTTGACAGGAGTAGGCCCAGATCTGTGTGTGGGGGGAGATGAAGAATATGCTGTGTTTAATATGCTACTAGCCCAGCTTCACTCCGTTACACTATCAGTCTGACTTTGGACTTTGAAGCCTCTGGGTGAACTACTGAAATCTCTGCCTACCCTAAATATCTACAAAATCAGTTTTATGGTTGAAATTTAGAAAAGTTTTCTGTCAGTTTAACAGGTTGCATTATGCAAATAACAAAAAAATTACATGACATTTACATTGTTTAATTAAGTTGCTCAAGATAAATTGTATTACTTTTATAGTATTAACTTATCTATTCTGAGATTGAGTGAAGAGAATACCTTTTAAGAGAATTTTTTTTGTACTCCGAGGATCAAAGCCAGGGCTTCATGCATGTTAGGCAAGTGTTCTGCCACTGAACACCTTCAGCCCAAGAATTTTAAAATGTATGAACATTATATACTACATATATATTATAAATCTCCCTGGAACTTCTGGTTATTTTGATGAAGAAAAAAACACACAAAAGGATTATCCCTCTAGTTTTATTTCCTATAGAATACAATTTAACTCCAGCAATAACTTTTGAACTCCAAGATTACACAAACAGGAACAGAATTTAGAAACGAATAATCACATTAGCTAACAGAGATGGAATGTTTTGACTAGTGCCTCAAAGGCAAACCTATCTTGAAAGGATCCTTTGTAGTCATCTACTCAAATGTAAGCCAAGACATAACTGCACTTCTAAAGCATCAGTGGAGAGCCGCAAGAACGCACCACATTAAATCTGATGTTTTCTGCCTGGGTCTGGATCTTCACTAGTATCGTTCTCCTGTTAAGAACATTTCATATGTTGGCTAGAATAGCTACAAATGTGTGAGACAGGCTTGTTGGTTTCAGTTATTAAATTTCTTTTCTTAGGGGTACATCCTTGGATAAGTATTAATGTACACTTTAAATTCCATTAATCAGATTCAAAACAGATGGTCTCCAACTTTAGAATGGTTCCATTTTATGATTTTTTTGGCTACAAGAGAACAAACAGACTTTGTCTTAGATCATCTTGTCCAACTGCAGGCTAATTTAGTGTTTTGAGCACATAGAAGACAGACTAAGAGAAGCTATGAATTTAGGTAGGTCAGATGTATGAAATTCACCCTCAATTGATGATGGGTTTATCAGAGTATAAACCCACTGTTCACCGAGAAGCACACAAATGGGTATTTTTCATTTCCCTCTCCAGACTCTCAGACCATGTCATCAGAGGGAAATTCTGTCAGCAAGGTGGTTCTATCCAGCTTTTACTAGGTAGTATCATCAGGTTTTTTTTCTTTCAGGTAAGTTTACAATTTTATCCTGCTGTTCTTTGCCAAGCCTTTTTTTTTTTAATTATGAAAGTTGTTTCCTAAGTTTATGACCAACTTCATGACGAGTGTTGGTAATTACTAAATGCTGAAAGACTGATGCTGTTTCTGAAACACATTCTGCCCCAGACACTTGCTTCCTAATATGTACAGGAAATATGCAGAATAGCCAAGACTTCTTTGATGAACTTCTAGTTTTCTCCTGATTTCCTTTCAACCAATAAACCGACTTAATTAGGATCTATGAAGAGATCAACAGTAAGAAAAGTTTATTGGACAATAATAAATACATCTTTTTCCAGTACCCCAAGACAGATATTTTAATATTGACTTGCTGTGTTTTGCAATGTGAAAATGTTCTCATTACTGGGAAATAATTTTCTGGGTGCAGGAAGTAACTATGCCTAGTTTTGAATTTTTGCCAATAGCTGAGATAACAGAATCACCAATTGCTAGTTGTCAGAGCCAAGAGTTAAACTGTATTCAAGAAGCTCGACTAGGGTCTGAGGGTGTACAGCAGTGGTACAACGCTTGGCTAGTATGCACGAGGCTCTAGGTGCAGTCCCCAGCAACACACATTCACACAAGCTAGGAAACTGGCTCTGCAAAAACAGAACTTTACTAACTGAAGAGCTAATGTATGTACAATAAAAATGGGGTTGTCGAATCACTCCATACACTTAATGTTCATATGAAAATAAAAACACCTAGGGCTGGAGATGTAGCTCAGGAGACTGGCTAGCATGTTCCAGGCCCTGGGTTTATCCCTAGCACTGAAGGAAAACAAGAAAAAGAAAACACAACTTCCACATATTTTCGATGTTTACAATAAAATTTCATACTAAATATTAACTTTTTTTGCTTATTTTGGCAGTACTGGAAATTAAACTTAGAGGACCCTGAGCTACATCCTTGACCCTTTTTATTTTTGAATTTTGAGATCAGTTATCACTAAGTTGCCCAGGCTGGCCTTTGACAACTTGCAATCTTCTTGCGTCAGTCTCCTGAGTAGTTGGGATAAGAGGTCTGCACTACCATACCCAAAGCACTCACTTTTGATAAGATTTCCCTTTTTATCTCTTTGGTGTAGGGTAGTTTTCAAGATGCGTTAAGTAAAACACCAGTGTATACACACACACACACACACACACACACAATGACACACATCTAAAGCATTTTCCTGAGAAGATGCAAAGAAGCAAAAGTTTTGGTATAGGGCTCAGCCAACTTGCCATAAAATAAGAGGTTCCAAATACAAGGATTTTCTTCATGCCAAATGCAGTTGGACTAGCAATCCAACTCTTGGATTGCACTGGCTCCTTTTACCCCCTGAAGTTCTAAGAGTTTATCGTTCTGTGAATTAGTTCCTTTAGTAATTCTTTCCATACATAAGCTGCCCCTGGGAGCAGTTTAGAAAATTGTGTTTATCCTTTCAGGCCACTAGTAGTGCATAAAAGAATCTGATTACTGACCACTGACCTTGAGCCTATACGCATTAGCTAAGCGGATAACCTAAACATGATGGGTGTTTCCACCATACCCATGAACCAGTCATCTTCATCATGAAAGGACAAGCTCATCCACACTGTCCCTATTTTTTTTTTTTTTTTTTTTTTTTTGGTCTTTTTGAGACAGGGTCTCACTGTGCAGTTCAGGCTGGCCTTGAGCTCACTTTGTAGCCCAGGCTGGTCCTGCATTTGCAACGACACTCCTGCCTCAGCCTCCTGAGTGCTGGGATTACAGGCATGTGCCACCACACCTGGCCATATTCCTATCTCCATACACATAAACTGTCTTTGAGTCATAACATCTCAACTTACTCACTCATTTCTGTCTTCTACCCGAGAACTTAAGATGGTGAGAAAAAAAGCAAAGTAAGAGAATAGCCAGGGTCCAATCAAAGACTCTAAATTCTTTCACACAGCTGTAAGGCAGGATGCAGGATTTCCTTTTAATGTGTGAGGACTCTGAACATCTTTCTTCCCTCCCTCCCTCCCTCCCTCCCTCCTTTCTTTCCTGCTGAAGATTGAACCAGGCTTCCAGCGTGCTGGGATAGTGCTCTACCACTGACCTACACCCTCAGCCCTTCCCACCACGTTCTGAAAGAGCAGGACAACATGTTCATCAGCTGAGAGCCTTCCACACAGAGCTCTTCGAAGGAGGGAATCACAAGGTTTCTCTTTCATCACAAGTATATTATTTTTGAGTACACTTGAAATTTTAAATGTGTATAAACTCAGGGATTTAAAAACTTCAAAAGCCACAGACACAAAGTCTAGGAAGCAGAAGGGTATGAGCCTCCCTTCTCACTCAGTCCACGCCTTACTTTGCATTCCTCACAGGTGAGCAGGCAGTGCCTACAAGAGAGACAGAGCAGAGAGCAGTTTGCACACCAGCAACAGAAGCTCTAGTCTTAACACAGTATTAATCAGACATTTTCTGTGCTAAAGTCCATTAGCTAAATTTTCTCAGTAAAAACTGTCTTATAGCTTAAAATCCCCAAAATTTCATCTAAAGTGGGGGAAAAAGCCAATAATGATTTTTTTTTGGGGGGGTGTCTTTTTGAGACAGGGTCTCGCTATGCAGTTCAGGCTGGCCTTGAGTTCACTTTGAGCCCAGGCTGGTCTCGAACTCAAAATGATCCTCCTGCCTCAGCTTCCCAAGTGCTGGGATTACAGGCATGCGCCACCATGCCCGGCCTGCCAATAATGATCTTTATGCTAAAACACAGTTGTACTTGAGGTAAGGGTTAGATTTAGGGTCCTGGCTCTTTGAACTAGAGTAATTCTTACCAATAGCATTAAAAAAATCATATAATACATACTGCATTTATCCAGGATTTAACCATAGGCCTACAAAATTAAGTTTTGGTTTAGTTTTAGACACACATCATGTATCTACGATATGTGTGTGTGGGGGGCGCGTTGGGAATGAAATCAAGGCCTTCACACTGAGCTCATCCCAGCCCTTGTTTTCTTATTTTGAGACAGTGTCTTCCTAAGTCATTAAGTTGCCCAGGCGGTCCTCAAATTTTTCATCCTTCTACCTCAGCCTTTCAGAGTGCTGGGATTACAGGTGTACAACACTATGCCCCATACAAAACTTTTTTAAGTAAGAAAAATATTAATGGCATACCCAAAATTCCTGGTTTTGTAGTTTGCCTAATATGTATTTTTCCTTAGGCTCTAACACTTACAAATTCCAGAAACATTTCTTGAGCATCTGTTTGCATGAAGAGTTTGCAATAGGAGTCCCACATTTCTACAGGACAGTGATGGGGCAGGTTCTACACGGCAGAACGATCAGCATGGCTGAGTGGGAAGGGTTACTCTGAAGGCAGCAAGAACGGGAGCCACTATTGCAAATCCCTAGGGAGACGGACAACGAACCTATCCGTTATGGTTTGTATCTAAACGTCCCCTAAAGCCTCCTGTGCTCATAGGTGGGGTCTGGGAAGCGACTGGCTCATGGGTGTGTAACAGTTGGTTAATCTACTGATGGGTTTAGCACAGTTCTACCTGCGTTGCGGATGGTGGATTTACTGAAGAGGGAAGACCCACCCTGGGTGTAGGTGGCACCAATAGGCTTGTAGCCTAGAAGAAATAAAAAGGAAAGAAGAGCCAGGGATACAGCTCAGCGGCACAAGTGCCTGCCTGGCAAGCGTAAGGTCCTGAGTTCAATTCCCAGTAGGAAAAAAAAAGGGAAAGGAGGAAGGCTAGCTGCCTCCTGCCTGCCACACCACGAACCGTTTCTCCTCTGCCATGACACCCTGTCCCCAGGGGCCGGGGACACAGCTCAGCACAAGCACCCGCCCGACACCCTGCTTGGAACCCATCGACTGTGGACTGAAACCCTGAAGAGCTGTGAGCTAAAATAAACCTCTCCTCCTTCAACTTGTGGATGTGGAGGGTTTTGTCTCAGCAATGAGAATGGAGGTAAGACATCACTTCTCATCCTTTTACCACTTACTTGATTCCACTGCTTTGGGAATGAAGTACAAATTCTTCACTTCTGCCACTTCCTAAAGCTCTTTATACTCCCGTTACAGGATGTATATAGTTCCCTTTCATAAGTCAGGTTTTCTCCTGTCCATGTGCCATTTCTGGCCTGCAATCCTTTTCTTCAACCTTGCTGAAACTCCTATTGGTATTCTGATTCAAGTCAAGCACCTTCCCCAAGAAGTCCTCCCCAGTGCACCTTCCTTCACCCCCTCCATAACCTCAACTTGATCAGGTACCCTGCTATCCTTTGCCTTCACTAGAACATCAGATCACCCGGTGAATCATTGCTGGTAAAGGACCTTCACACAGGGTTTAGCACTGGTTACCAACTACTAATGCAGGCCCAGAGCCTGGCTGCTGGGGCAGGAAGTGTGCAGCTGAGATGGAGCCACAGAATGCCGAGTGTAAAGACCATTTACTCGACCACCTCCTGCATACAAACTGCAGAACAAGGGAGAACGTGTGGAAAATACAGATTTCAGTCCTGTGTTCACCTTATCCTGGAACCCAGAGTTGAACAATATCAAAAGAAACTTCTGAAACTGAAGGGGAAGAGAAAGCAGTTAATGCAATTTTCTCCTGTGCTAGCTTACCTTTTTCTACCTTGCCTGTACAGACCAGAATTGACCTGTGGTCAGTTGCTCTTCAGTCAGCTGACCCCAAAACAGAGCTGTGCAAGGATGGACTGAAGTTGGTGTTGTTTGTACATACGAATTAATAGCTCTCAGTATCCTTGCTGGTCTCATGAAAAAAGCAAGTGTTTGTAAAACAAGTGGGCTGGGATTAGAGTCTCTTTCTGCCTGCAGCTAAAGTCTCTGCACCTTTCTGGGTCACATGTAGCTTATTAGAAAGAGAAGCGTTGGGGCTGGGGATTTAGCTCAGTGGCTCAGGGGCACAGCGCCCGCCTGGCAAGCGCAAGGTCATGAGTTTGATTCCCAGTACCGGAAAAAAAAACAAAGAAAAACAAAAAAAAAGAAAGAGAAGTGTAAAAAAAAGAAGAGAGAAGCGTTTAGGGATCCATCTACCATTACCCTACCGGACTAGTGGAGACAGCTATTCCAAGCCATGAAATTAGAAAATAAGCTGGGAGCCCTGACTTCCGGTTCAGTGCCGTTTTCACTGTGTCCTGCTGCTCCTCAAATAGAATCCACTGTGACATGTGAGGGCTCTTTGGAGAAACGTGTCCCCAACACTAGATGGAAATAGCACGAATAAACTTTTCTACTCCCTATAACATCCTATGGGAATAATTCTGTTCATCATTTTATACAGACATGAAAACTGAAGATTAGAGTCTAAGAAACTTGTCCAAGGTCACACAAGAAGTGGTATAAGTAATTTTCAATCCGAGTACTCTAACAGGAGAGGCCATGCTGTTAACGCCACAGTCCCAGTGCTTACGTCCTCTGGGGGTAATCATCTACTAACATATTGAAGGCTCTGAGGAAATCTTCAGAAAAGAAGACTATTTATAAAGTCTGTGCCACCCTGTGATGGTAGAAGCCATGTCTGCTCATTATGGATTTCTTTAGAGACTTGCACAATGCCTCGAACTTAACAGGTATCCATTAAATATTTGTCGAGCAAATAAAATAGGTCACTAAGTTACATAATAATTATTACTGAAGTTGAGTAGTGACAACTCGAAATTTGTGAGGGTTAAAGATGTTTTTAACAAATGAATTTTTAAATGTTATAAACAGTGAGTGATCTTTCATTTAATTTCTTATAATTACCTTTATTACAAACCCTCAATCAAGTGGATTACAAACCTGTTATGGTGTGGACCAAAACCAGCCCCACGAAGCTGATCTTCAAAGGAGTGGAATTTACTCTGGCACACTCTTATGTAGGAGGCCTTGCCGAGGCCAAATCCCAGGATACCAGCAACTGTGAGGGCAGGTTAGGAAATCTCCATTAGCTGTCTCCTACGTTTCTTTGGTAAGACTAACAGTTCTTGTATTAAAGGTATAGTACCATGATAACTCAATGAACAGAAAGTCTGGAAAATGAAGCCCATAAAGCAGAACCAGAGTGGGGAACTGGAGACTCTTTGCTCTCTGCTTTGAACTGGAAGCAGCAGGGCCAGGATGGAGCGAGCAAAGCTGGGGTCCCAGGAACCGGCATCGGGAGCGGGGCCCAGACAAATGTCTGAGGCTCCCAGAGCAGGAAGGAGAGGTGTGGGTTAAGGATACAGGAGAGCGCTCTGTTTTCTTTCTCATGGATTTAAGTCCTTGGGAGCTCCGGTCCATCTCGCCACTGCAGAGACAAGGAAGAGGGAACCTTCCACAGAAGATGTCTTCAACCATTACTTCAACTGGAGGGACTGAGACTTCTGCCTGTGAACTGGAAGGCACCCTCTCTGGACACGAAAGGTCTATGCATGCCAAGGAGGAAAATGAAACCCCAAGTTTATGGTAAGTTTATTACTATTAGAAAGCCCCTGATTTTTTAAAAAAAATTACTTCTTTATGTCCATTACAGGTAATGCTTTGAAGACTGGCTGAACCAAAAGAAGAAAATGAAAAACCCTGATGGGGCTATCAATCAGATGCTCTGCTGCTGATGAATTTTTTACAGTGAGCATGCCATGTCTATGGACTCCACATCCCACAGATTCAACTAACTGCAGTTCAGAAATACTGGAAGAATTTGGACCTGTACTGAACATGCACAGATTTTTTTCTTTCTTGATTCTCTTATAACAACCATTTACGTGGCATTTACATTGTATTAGGGATAAGTAATCTAGAGATGAGTTAGAGTGTACAGAGGAAAGGCATAAGTTATAGGCAATTATGCTTTTTTTTAAGGGACTGGAGTATCTGTGGATTTTGGTGTTCTTGGGGTCCTGGAACAAATCCCTCTGACACTGAGGATATATCTACACTGTAGCCTATCCCTGTCTGTCCGTGCTCTAAAGAAGACTTCTAAAGATAAGTCCGTCCTGCTAAGCTGTGTATCAGGAAGTGCTGAATGAACTCGGACACACAAAGTGGTAGGAAGAGGAGAATGATATCTCAGAGTCAATACAGACAACATGGTTAAACTGGACATTCACTTCTATAATTGCTATAAACATCACTTATCAAAGTGAATCTCCTTTTACTTTTATGACTTACGTGCAACTTTAGGTAATGATCCAAATCTTGGATTAGCTGCTAAATAACCTAAGGAGTAACATATAAATACATTATTATTTATTAAGATGGATAAGTAACATTTAAATTTACAAAGAAAACTTCAAAATTTAAAATATAATATTTCGTTCTTTCTTTTTTGTTTTTTTGTAGGCAGTGTCTCACTATGTAGTGCAAGCTGGCCTCAAACTCATTGTGATCTTCCTATCCCAGCCTCTTCAGTGCTGGGATTATAAGTGTGTACCACCACACCCAGCTAAAATATAAAATTTCTTAAATATGCAAATTTCCTAATCATTAAAGAAATGATCTTAGAAGAATTTTCACTCAATTCTTGCTTGAATTTAACTCTCAAATAGCCATTTTAGGCAAATTGCAAATATTAATATAAAGAGACTATGAAACAGATCATTAAAAACTAAGTTAAACAGAATTAAAAGAAATCAGTCATCACCCTCTTCTAAGGTAATTAACTATGGGAAGTTTCACTTTAGAAATTCATAGTATGTATGTATATTTTGTGTATGTGTGTCCAGTATAAGGGATTGAACCCAGGACCTTCACACTGGGCTACATTCCCAACCCATCCATCCATCCATTCATTCATTCACTTATATTTTGAGACAGGTTCTTGCCAAGTTGCCCAGGCAGGACTTGAATTTGCAATCTTCTTGCTTCTTTCAGAGTGTTAGAATTATAGGCATATGCCACACATCTGGTTTATCACAATCTTTAAATGAAAACATTTTAATTTGTGGTAGACAGAATAATGGCCCCCTAAAGATGTCCACACCATAATCTTTAGAAATGGTGAATATGTTATATTACAGAAGGGGAATTAAGGTAGGAAATGGAACTGAGATTGCTTATCAGATAGCTTTAAAATAGGGAGATGATCCTGAATGATCCAGGTGGAATCAACACAATTAAAACAATCCTTGAATGCAGAAAAAGGAATTGGAGAGGAGAGAGACAGCAGTGTGATTTTGAAGACATAGGAAGAGGCACTACCAAGGAATCTCGGTGACCTCTACCAACTGGAAAAGGAAAGAAATCCTAAAAACTTCCAGAAGAAAGTTCTCCTCTTGAACTGTAAGATAATAAAGATGTGTTATTTTAGGCTATCGTATTTGTGGTAATTTGTTGTAGCAGTCATAGAAAGCTAATATATTCCTGAAAAAATCTTTTGCACAGATGCAAAAGATGTTATATTTAAATAGTTTAATAGTCACAAGCAAGCCAGGCATGGGTACATGCTTGTAAGCCCAGCACTCTTGGGAGGCTGAGGCACAAGGATCATTTTGAGTTCGAGACCATCCTGGGCTACAAAGTGAGCTCAAGGCCAGCCTGAGCTACATAGTGAGACCTTGCCTCAAACAAACAAATAAACAAACAAAAAAAGTCACAAGCAAAATTGTATATTATGTCCTGCCCCTATTTTTTCCCTGTATCAAAAACAGTCTGACAAAAGCTTTTCACTGATTCATGAGTCTATTTCTTTACTTTTATTTTTATTTTTAGAGACAGGGTCTCACTATGTAGTTTAGGCCTTGAACTCACTATGTTACCTACACTGGCCTCAACCATGCAGTGATCTTCCTGCCTCAGCTTCTCAAGTCCTGGGATTACAAGTGTGTACCACCACACCCGGCTGAATGAATATATTTCTACAAAAAGACTATCTTCAAGTTATAAAGATGACATCATACTTAATACATGATCTTTACAGACAATAGTAGCATTGATTAAAATGGAATTCTCCTAGATATATGATACATGTGGCCTTTGAGAACCAAAAAAGAACGAGGATATCTTCCCTTGTCTTTACTGGGTACAAACATTTCTTATAAAATCCCAGCACTAGGGAGGCTAAGGTGGGAGGCTGAGGCAGGAGGATCATTGCGAGTTTGAGACCAGCCTGGGCAACAAAGTGAGCTCAAGGCCAGCCTGAACTGCATAGCGAGACCCTATCTCAAAAAGACAAAAAAAAAAAGAAATAAAAAAATAAAATCCTGGTAATCAGTGACAGCCAGGACAGGGACAGGTGCCCTGCTGTCAGCCTGGCACTAAGCACTGTCTATGGGCTCTCTGGTCAGGTGGAAACAAAGAAGAGGACGAGGACTGAGGAGCAGAGGGGACAGTGGGCAAGCAGAGGTGTGGGGGAGACACGCGAGGCAGCTGCCAGTCCTCGTACGAGCTAGACACAGTGCCCTTCCTCAGGCGATGCAGCCTTTTCCCAGGACAATGGCTTGGTGGACAGAGCTTGGAGTGGGTTTCAGCCCATCACCTCTTCCTTGGAGCAGGTCTGTCCAGCGAGCAGTCTACCTAAACACAGACAGCGGCCTGGGAGACACAAGACTTCTGGTACAGGAAAGGCGCTGCATTATTTTCCTGTGGCTGCTATGACAACTCACTGCAAGCCCAACGGCTTAAAAGCAACAGAAACTTATTATCATACAGTTCTCGAGCTTAGAAATCCAAAGTCAGTCTGAGTTAAAACTAAGGTTGTGACCATATTTCTTCAATGGGTTGGGGGGTCTGGCCTTTCTATATCCTGGAGTCCCCCCATACTGCTTAGCTTATGGCCCTTTCCTGAATCTTCAGAGTCAGAGTGTGGAGTCAAGTCCTCACACTGTCCTCTCTGGTTCTGTCCTCTGAGCCCCTTCGTCACTTTTCAATAGTATATTTGGCACCCGGATCCAGATAATCTCCCTATTTTAAGGTCAGCTGATTGACACTTTAGTTCCATCTGCAACTTTAATCTTCCTTTGCCAAGTAACAGTACATTCACTCATACTGGGAATTAGGACTTCTAGGAGGCAGGAACTTGGGCTTCACATGGGCAAAACTATGCATAAGTCTTTCCCCCTAATACAAATGCCCAGTGCTAAAAAGCTGCCAGGAGTATCACAAAGCCTGGGCTCTCTGAAGTTAAACTATTTACAAATAGTGACTCTTACCTTGGTGGACCAGTCCCTGGGTAACAAGCATGCTTACAAGTGAAAAAGGCAGAGCTGTAAAACAAAAATTCCCCTCAATATTGGGTATCTTAAAACACAACATCTCACCCAAAGTCAGGGATAATTACTCTGAGCTTTTCTCCTACCTTCCTTGGCAGTGAGTTTTCTTCACTTGTTATTTTACTTATTTAACAAACGCTTGTTAATTAAGTACGGCATGGAGAGTTTTCTTGGCTCTTCCTCAGGCACTGAATGTGATGCACAGCATCAAAATGACCAAATCTGAACTCTATTCACCGCCATCTCTGACACCCACATTTACCGAATTCTTAACATGTGCAGGATTCTAATCACTACATCCACCACGGGTGAGTTAGGGTATCTGGCTGTGGAATAAAATATCATGTACACTTAGCGGTTGAATTTCGGAGTTGCTGTTAGCTATATATTTGATATTTCAATCCATATGTATTAAAAAGGACTATGATATACTCCTGCATAGCTTTCTTCTAGATTCACTAATTGTGAAAATTTTGCTTTATCCCCCCCCTACATTCCTCTCGAGCCATTTAAAATTTGCAAACATCAGACACTTCACAATGAGTATTTCAACAGGTATCTTCTACGAACAAGAACATTCTGTAGCACCATCACAACCCTATTAGCATACTCAAGAAATTTGCTTCTTGAGTATTCATACTCAAGAAAAATTATATTAACTAATACATAATCTATATTCAAATCTCTTCAATTGGCCCAGTACAGTGTTTCATAGCTGCAGGTTTTAAGGATTATGTATTAGTCATTTTCTATTCTGCTTTGATAGTATTTTGTTGGGTTTTTTGTTGTTGTTGCTTTTTTTGTCTTTCATGATATTTTGTCCACAACCAAATAAGTATTTGCCTTAAGACCAAAAGAAAAGATTATAAGAAAATTACATTCATGTTAAACATGTACAATACTTAGCTATGATTTTTTTTTTTTCAGACAGGGTCTCCCTATGCAGTTCAGGCTGACCTTGAACTCACTATGTAGCCCAGGCTGGCCTCGAACTCATGGTAATCCTCCTCTTTCAGCCTCCTAAGTGCTGGGATTATAGGCGTGTGCCACCACACCCAAAGCTAGCTACGAATTTTAACACAGACAATTTAATCTGCTAAAAGCAGTTTTCAGTTCTGTCAATATGTGTCAGATGACTTCTTCCAAAAGCAGAGAGCACTGATAAACATCTATTTCTTCCTACCAACCAAGACAAATCAAATAGCAACCTATTTTTCCACTCATCACCAGCTACCTGGTGGTAAGCAAGTGGGTCATACTGAAGTGCGAATCTGCTAGCACTCACTAAATTATCTGGTCACGTTGTCAGAAGAGACATGAATTTCTAGAAGAAACCAGTAAATCACTGTAACACAGGATGAATATTACCTTCTAGAGTGTTACTTCTAAACCTGGTGACGCTGGATTTGCATGATTTAGGAACTCGAGATTAGAATTACAAAGTCTAAATTATCCCTGTCAGCAGTGTTATAGCTTATAGGCTGTTCTGCCCTTTTTTTGAGACAGGGTCTCTCTGTGTAGCTCAAGCTGGCCTTGAACTGACTCTATTGCATAGGCTGGCCTCACATTCACAGCACTCCTCCTGCCTCAGCCTCTTGAGTGTTGGGATTACAGGTGTGTGCCACCAGGCCTGAGTGTGCCATTTTCAAATATGAATCACGAGTTTATTGTTTTCTTTTAATTGGAAAGGACTGCAATACACGGCTTGACTTCATACCCTTATCTGATTGATGTAAGGCAGGCCAGAAAGCAGAAGCAACTCAGCACAAAATGCTATTCAGAAACAGTGTGAGAGAATTATTAAAGGAACGCTGCCATTACTCATTCACTAAATCAATACTTATGAAGTATTTCATATGTCTGAGGCATTGTGTTAGGATCTGGGATGAAGCTCCAGAAGAGCTTAGGCATCATTTCCGAGTCCTAAGAAGCTTAGACATTAGTGGAATTCGGCTAAGGCCTACTTTTTGGTCATCAAGAAATTCTACACAAGGTCTTGATATATGTTGTGCTCACCTAAAGGAAAGCTGCATGTATATCACTCTCTGCTAAGTGAGGCGAGTGGCTCCACAATCGGATGTCATCTCTGACCTCAGAGGGTCTCAGAATGGATTTAAACTACATCTCCAAATATCAAAGTTCTTCAAGGAGCTATGCAAAACCCTGCTCAATAATAAATCATCACCATAATTTGTTTTTTGTTTTGTTTCGTTTTTCTTCCGATACCGGGAATCAAACTCACACCCTTGCGCTTGCCAGGAAGGCACTGTGCCACTGAGCTAAATCCCCAGCCCCTCATTACCATAATTTGAACAGGACATGGAGACGGTTTACAGCACCAAAGAGAGTGTTAATGAGCATGAAGAGGTATGAGGTTACCTCTCTTCCAGAAACTTTCTTCTTGACATTCTCGGATAATCTTGGCAATCTCTCCTCTGTGCATGTGCAGTTTTGATTTTGGACAAAACAAGAAACTCTGTAAAGAAAGTCACATGGTGAGCTAACTCAGATCATCAGACATGCGTCCAAGCCAGGCATACATGCCTACAATCCCGGGACTTGGGTGGCTGAGATGGGAGGATCGCCACAAGTTCAAAGGCCAGCCTGGGCTACATAGTGAGTTCAATCCCAGCCTGAACTACATAGTGAAACCCTGTCTCAAAATACCAAAAATAAAATAAATTAAAACAAAATGCAAAGCAAAGCATCCATTCTGTCTCTGCTTTTCTTTCTCTGTCTCTCTCTCTCTTTCAGTACTGGGGATTAAATCTGTGGCATTGTATATGCTAGGCCAGTGCTGTGCCATGGAGCTACCTTTATTTTTGTTTGGAGATAAGGGCTCTCTAAATTGTCTAGGCTAGCCTCGACATGGTATGGGTGTGTAGTACCATGCCTGGGTCTACCTGGTCTTAAGACCCAGCTCAGTGTTTCCCCTTGGTGAAGGGACAAACCTGCTGATTTTCAAATGCTCTTTTTAGACTGTTTTATAGCAGACATCAAGGAGGGTGCCAGGCACCATTTTGTACGCACTTTCTCATGGACTGGACACTACGGCAAGTATGTGAAATGCACGACATCACATTAATAGGGTGGAGGGTCCCTGTGGCCCCTATACTTTCAGAGCTCCAAAAGCCTTGCAAGCTGGCAGCACCCTTCCGTTTTCTACAACCCAATGGCTCAGTACAAGGACGCAGTGATCAGCATGAGTCCAACAGCTGTAACTGTGGTAACGCACAGTGATGGGAGAAGTGACTGCTCTCACTCTATTTACCTTGGCTCCTTAGTACCAGTGCTCATCAGCAAGCACGCCTGTGTGTCCAGGGTAAATGCAGACGATCCCCCAACTTATGATGGTGCACGTTTTTTCGACTTTATGATGGTGGGAACTGGTATGCTTTCACACCTGGAATTCTGATCTTGTCCTGGGCTAAGCATATGTGCTACAATATGTATTCTTCTGTGATACTGGGCAGCAGCTGCTAGTCAGTCACACAATCATCAGGGTACACAGTCGGCATTCTACAGTGAACTGTGCTGCTAAGCTCTGACGTTTGGTAGACAGAGGGTGGGTAGCACCCTGTCTTTAATGCATTTTTGACTTACACTATTTGCAACCGATGGAGGGTTTACTGGCACAGAGCCCCACCGTAAATCAAGGAGTATCTGTATTTGTTCTTGCTCCTGCTGCGGCTGCAGCAGAACTAAGGAAAATCTCTTTCCACTACACTCATGTACACACACCCAGATATCACAAGTGCTGTGCTCCTGCGGTCAAGAGCAAGACTTCTGCAGGGAGCTCTGAGGATCCTTTTCCGCAGAGCCATGAATGTTTCATGGCTCTCTACGTCACAGAGGCAGCACAAATGTTCAAATTCTTCTCCCTGTGACCTGTTACCATTTGTCGGTTTGCCTCTCCTATGCTTTGCTTCTTAGACATTATCTCCTCAATTTTAACTTGAAATCAAGACAATTTTAGCTTGAAATGTTGACCCTCAAGAACATGAGCTCCATTTATCTATCAAATACTTTCTCTGTCATTTTATGTGTTGCTGAAGTAAATAATACTCATTCCTAACAAGTTGAAAAAATGTGCCCATGTTAACATGTGGGTTCTCAATCTGGTGGCTAATTAGTAATTAAGGACTCTGCTATCCTAAAAGCAACACCTGTCAGCAGCATATGCTTAGTATGATTACCCTTACTAATAAAAAAAGTAATAAGCAAGATGTGTCATGCTACAGGAAACCTCTTCAGTCACTGGCACTCTCCTAACGAGTTGGATGAGCTGGATTCTAAACAGGAAAGAATAAAAAAAAAAGAGTTTGTAAATAAAAATTTAAAAAGCTTTTTTCGAGACAGCCAAAAACACGCTTTCCTTCCTCAACCCATGTTCCCTGCACCCACTTAACTAACAGCCAGACTGAAAAAAATAAGATGACAGGTCAGGGTGAAACTTCAGGGGTCCTCTGCGATACTCCGCTTCAGAGGGCAGCTTTCACCCTCTACTCAAATTAAAGTTTGTACCTTCTTGCTCAGTGGTGGCAAGTGGGGACCTTTCTCTTGGTCTTCATGAGTAGACACGGAAGCCATGATGATGTTCTTCTCGCTTTTCTTCTTGAATGCTTTGCTTACTCCTTGACCAAGTGTCTACGGAGAGCAGGAGAGAATGACTATGCCATATCTCACTGTTTTACAGCAGTATTCACTCCTACTAGCAATAGCCCTTAACTGAAAAGTGACTTTGATCTTGTCCTTCGTCTTCAACCATCTACAAACTCAATCTCTAATGCCACACACAAACACTCATAAAGGGTGACACGTCAGATTTTGAATAGAGCAAAATATCACACCACATGTACTTAGTGAAGTGTTTTACTACCTATAAGCTGCCCAAAAAAAGTCTCATTATAAGGTCATGAACTACACTGACACTGATGGAGTGTCTACTATACGCCAGTCCTGAGGGTACAAAGAATGAAGCTACTGCTGAAAGAGCTGACAGTCCCAAGGTCAAGACAGATGAGCAATTACCTAAGTGGAAAGGGCTTTCCTTCAGGGCACAAGGTACTAAGGAGAGAGGAAGGGTCTGTTAGATCTCAAGATACCAACAAGATGACGCCTGGGCCTTCAAGAGGATGTGCCGCCCTGAGTGGGCTCTGGGGGCAGAAGGCCCAGTGTAGGAGGAATGCAACAGCCTAGGCAAGGAGCAGCAGAGAACCGAGCCACCACCCTGGAGCGAGGATGGTAAATTTGAGTTTGGGAATGTTGTGTCTGCATACCTGTGGGGACAAGCAGTAGAATTAGCCAGGTGAGGTTAGAGGATCTGAGAACGTGGGTCTAGTCTCCCAGGTTAGGGACAGGCTGGAGAGTTGAACTGGAAACTACTATCATAGAGACTGAGACATAAAGCAAGGAACCTGAAGACTGTCTAAAAAGAGTATTACACGAGAACACTGAGAATGTGAACATTGAGCCCAAGGAACGCCCATGAGAAGGAAAAAAAAAAAAAAAAAAAAACGAGAACAGGCTACGGAAGTGACTAAGACTGTGAGTTGATACAAAGGACAGGAAATTATTGAAGGGGGAATGAGTCATCTACAGGGATCAGGGCTCAGGAAAACAGGTCCTGGCTTTGGCCATGACAGACACACTGGGGGACTGTGCGCCTCTGCCCCGCCAGAGCCACTTCCCTGGCACTTCATGCAGCCTGGGCTCCACGACTCTCGCTGACCTCCCTGCAAAACAGGCATCGCACATACACTTCTGTTTCCTGTATCAGTTACTAAGCTGCAAGGCCGTGTGACAAGGGAGCCCCTACCTGCACCAGCCCTCACGTTAGGTGCCTGGGGTTGCTGGAGGCTCCCCCCGCAGGGCAAAGTCCTGGCATCAGAGAGAGCTGAGTTCACTTTCTGACTCTAGGGACGGGACTCAGGAGTCAGCTTGCCTAGCAAGCCAGGCCTACTTCAGCCTCAGTGTTGAGGCAGACCCGATCCAGGCTTTCCTCCTGACTGGCCCCATGCACTGGGGCAAGGACTTGCCGCGCCCGAGCCTCGGCCTTCGGACCTGCTCGGGCGGTGCGATGGGCACAGCAGCCGTCAGGAGCTGCTGCCAAAGGTGAAGGGTGAGCGACGAGGTCCGGGAGGAACGAAGGCCCCGGAGCCGCGGGTCAGACGGGGCACCCTATTCCCTTAGGACCCCAGGAAGTCTTCGCTGACCTGGGGCAAACTGTGTTTGTTTAAGCGTTAGGTCCTGGCCCCAATCGGGAGTCAAAGACAGCACCCCGCCTCAGCGCTGGGGGTCGGCCCCTTCGCACCCCGCGTGTAATCAGTCCACTTCTAAGCAGCCCTGTGAGGGACGCCGCTTGCAAGTGCCCACACCCACGGATACTGGGCCTCTCGGGGGCTGGGGGGCTGGGGTGCGGACAGGCGGGGAGTGCGGCAGGCTGCGGGTGGGGTGGGCTGGATGGAGCCGGGGTCACCTTATCTTCTGATGGGCGGCGGCGTGTGGCTCCGAAGGAGCACGTGGAATCCGCCGCCGC